AGAGTTGTGGCAGTAAACATGGCTACAGCCAGTACCTCAGCCATGAGGCTGGAAAGCTAAGGAATGGGCTACATCTAGCCGGCAAAGCCACGGCTTAGTCCTACTGATATTGCTTGGTAAATTAAAGACTCGTGTGGTCAGAAAAAGAGAGATATACAGTAAAGAGAGATTCAAAGATAAAGAAAATTTCTAAATGGTTTACAGTGTGTTAAGAATATATGCAGACTAAAAGTTGAAGTTCTTAAAGTAAAAAACAAAAAAGAAAGGAAGAGAGTTGTTGTGTGTGGTAGTACACACCTTTAATCCCAACACTTGGAAGGCAGAGGGAGACTGACCTCTGTGACTTCAAGTTGTGGTAGCACACGCCTTTAATCCCAGTGCCTAGAAGGCAGGGACAAACAGATCTCTGTGAGTTCAAGGTGTAGTAGCTGTACACCTTTAATCCCAATGCCTGGGAGGCAGAGACAGGTGGATCTCTGAGAGTTCAAGGAAAGCCTGGTCTACAGAGTTATTCCAGGTCAAAGATACAGAGAACCTGTCTCAAAAAACAAAAAATAAAAGTAAAAATAAACGAAATAATTGCTTCGCTCAACTGCCAACTGAGATGAAACTAGCACACAGGTTATACCATGAAAGACCTAATTAACGACGCCCCCATTCAGCAGGAAGCAGTTTGGAGAGAAAAAACTGCGCCCATGTTCCCAAATATGGTTTATAAATGTTCTTTTACATTTAAAGGGGAATATGATATAGATATGAATAATTTGCATTAGTATAGATTTTGCTTTATTGATAGAGATTTAAGGTCAGTTTTGTTATATGTATTTCTGATCTTTATTAAGGTATTGTGATTGTGTAGTTCATTTAAAAATGTAATGTATATAGGTAGTTAATAGATAATCATAATAGTCAAGTTTGTAGTCATGTTAGTTAAGATTTTCTAGATGTGCATAGATATATTTTAGATAGGCATTTTTCATATTTTCAAAGATTATAGAATATGGCATTTTAAAAGTTTTAATAACTTAGGGTTTTTCATGACAATGAGACACTCTGCTCCTGGCAGCACCAATCTACTTCAGGAAGAAGATGGGCATCAAAGAGGATCTTTATGGAGTTTGATAGCCATTTGGGCAAGAAACTGCTCTTGCCTGGACTATTGCATAAACTGGACACAGAGAACCCACAGAGAGAGGACTACTGAACTTGCCTAAGGTAAGATGATCTTTCGGGGTTCCTGATTCATGAAAGAGTCTGCGAGACATTCTGCAGGACACAACAGATAGTGACTGAACTGACTTTGAATTTTCCTGCTTTATGGAAATGTGTGCTGGATAGCATGGGCCTGAAGGCTGAAGATGGATGCCCCAACGGTACAGAGGAACTTTGGGTGACTGTCCAGGCAGCGAGATGTCTCTGTCATTTCTAGAGTTTTAAAAGTTGCTTTTTTCTTGTTTGCTTAGGTAGTATTGTATCTTTCTGGAGTCTTTGATGAAGTTAAGAATAGTTAGTTATAGTTATAGTTTTCCTCAGTTATGATAAAGATTATTGTAACTTTTACTTGATAACTGTTTCGTTATATGTAATTTTGCTATGTTAAAGTTAAAGCCTTTTTTCTTTTTTGTTTAAACCGAAAAAGGGGAAATGATGGAGGAAGGTCATTGGTTAAATAAAAAGAAACTGCTTGGCTCTCATTGGTTAGAAGATAGGTGGGAGGAGTAAACAGAACAGAACGCTGGGAGGAAGAGGAAGTGAGCTCAGACTCCACAGCTCTCCTCTCGGGAGCAGACACCTGAGAGAGACGCCATGCCCCGCTCCCGGGCAGACACACGCCATGAAGCTCCGACCCAGGATGGACTAGGCTAGAATCTTCCCGGTAAGACCGGTTCTCACAGATTATTAGAGATGGGTTGATCGGGATATCAGAATTAGCCAGTAAGGATTAGAGCTAAAGGGCCAAGCAGTGTTTAAATGAATACAGTTTGTGTGTTGTTATTTCGGGGCATAAGCTAGCCAGGCGGCTGGGGTGCCGGGGACGTAGCTCACCGCTCATATTACTACACCAAGCAAAGCAGGGGGATCACTGCACACACTCATACACACACTCGAACACACGCACACACTCGCACATGCACACATACACACATGTCTCTACTATACTGACAGAAATACAAAACGTTTTGCATTCAAGTCTTTTGTAAACTTACATTCTGCTTTTAACAGGTCAAAACTACTGCAAGATTGCAAGCAGGCTGCCCTTCTCGGTGGGCGGTTAATCCCCCTTCATCTGGCACGAGTTATTCCATAGTTGGAAAACACTGTCTTTTCTAGATTCTGCCCTCATTTACAAATCCTAGTCTCAAACACCATACTGGTTCATTTTGTGTCAAAAAACTAGAGTCCCCTGGGAAGAAGAAAGCTCAGTTAAGGAACTGCTTCCATGACGCTGGCGCCTGGGCATGTTCAGGGGATATTTTCTTGATTGATGATTGATGCGGGCGGCCCAGCCCATTGTGAAAGGGTGCTATTCCTGGGCAGGTGGTCCTGGTAGTATAGGCAAACTGACAAGCCCGTGGGAAGTCAGCCAGCGAGCAACATTTCTCTACAGTTCCTGCCCTGACTTCCCTCAACAATGGACTATGACAAGGAAATGCAAGGCAAGGAAAACCTTTCTGCTTTTGCTCAGTATGGTTTATCACAGAAACCTAGCTGCAAACTAGGTGCAGTTCAGGGAAAAGACAACGAAGGGGAAGGGGGCTAAAAAAGAGGGAGCAAGAAAAAGACAGAGGAATATGAAAAATGGCCTAATAAACTCTATCAGTTGCAAGTGTTTTAACGTATAGAGCAAAGACAGCCAAGGATATTAGGAACATAATAAGAAATTTTCTTATCAAAAAAATTCTTCCTGCCCTTGTAACAAAGGGCATTATAGATATTATATATTCCCCCTAAAAAATAGAAAAGTAGAAGCAAAGAATAATGCCCCCCGAAGCTACCCATACCCTAATCTGATCCTCAGAACCTGGGAACATGTGCCTCTTCTAGATGTTATTAGATGTACAGGCCTTTTTAAAAACAGGGTAGTCCTGGCTGCCCTAAAACTCGTTCTATAGACCAGGCTGGCCTTGAACTCAGAGATCTGCCTGCCTCTGCTTCCTAGGTGCTGAGATTAAAAGTCTTAGTCCTGGTCTTGAGATGGAAAGATTATCACAAATGAAAAAGCAAACCTACTTCTACTTTTTCATATATTTCATGGTTCCTACCTCTCTAATGCAAAGAAAGAGAAGATACACTGAAAGAACTTGCTGGGGTTTTGTTTTGTTTTGTTTTCAAAAAAAATTAAGAGAAGGTTGGGGAAGACATCTCAATCAGTGGAGTGCTTCTCTTAGAAGCACAATGATCTGAGTTCATTTCCAGAACCTATGTTTAAAGAAAAATAAAGAGAGAATAAATAGTTAATAAAAATAAATTTAAAATAGAGGAATAAATAAAGTAATAAAAATAGATTAAAGTAATAAATAAAAATTAAAATAATTTTTTAAAATAAGTACTAAAACGTCTGGGCGTGGTAGTACTTGCTTGTAATCCCATTGCTAGGAAGGCAGAAATGGGCAGACCCTGGCTAACTACTTGCCGAGAGATCAGGCCAGTGAGAAGAGAGCCTGTTTCAGAAAAGATGGGCAATGCCTGAGGCACAAGACTTGAGGCTGTACTCTGGGTCTCTGCTCACACATACAGACATGTGAATGCATGCGTACACATGTGCACACACACATACATATACACAAGAAAACGTATTTCCACTTTTTATCTGTATATGTGTGTATGCGTACTGTATGCATATGTGTGGGTAAGTGCACCTACTTGGAGGTCAGTGGCCAACAGTAAGCATTTTCCTCTATTGCTTTCTACCTTAGTTTTTGGGACAAGGGCCCTCACTGAACCCAGACCTCACTGACTGGCTAGGTTTGCTGGCCAGCAAGATTCAAGGATCTGCTTCCCACGATGACCACCGCCACCAAGCCGGGATTACGGCACATGCCATCATACCTAATAGCTGGGTGCTGAGGATTTGAACTCGGGTCCTCAAGCTTGCACATCAAGCACTTTACCCAATGAGCCATTTCCCAGGCGAGAAAAATTATTTCTTGTTGGGAGTAAAGAGCATTCTTTCAATATATAACTGTGGCAAACACACTCAATTGAAGGCTGCCTCTCCATACCAGGAAGCTATACTCATTTAAGCTTTCTGTCCCTGCAGGCTGGTGAGCCTCTAAGCATCTTTCTACTCCTAGACTCTGAACTCATGAAAAAGTAAGGTGTGTAAGCTTTGTAGATTTGACTCTTTAACATCTTAAACACAACATCCAACCCTCCCTTTCCTCCTGCATCACTTGTCTGGGGAAAACCCTCCCTGATATCATAACATCGAGTTAGTCTTTTCTGGGTTTCTACTTAGAATAACTGCTGAGCCTGAGTTTCTTAATGCTGTCTCAAATCATATCTGATTATAACCATATCAACTTGCCAAAGAAATAACTCTAGCTGCAGTTTCTACTCTGCCACAAATGCACACCTTTTACTATGACAAATATTTCCACAGGATTCAGTAAACTACAGCTATAGGTCAAATCTAGCCCAGTTCTAGCTTTTATGAATAAAGTTTTATTGGAATACACACATAAGCATTCATTCATATATTCTCTATGGCTATTTTTGTTTCAGAGCAGCTGAACTAATTTTGTCACAGCTCTCAACCCTAAAATACTGTCTAACCCTTTATATCGCATCTAGCCGACCTCTATATAGGAAGATTAAAATACATATTTTAGTAGTTAACAAACCAAGAGTTCATTATCTTTTGCAAAACAAGAACATAGCTAGAGTGAAATTACGCTCTCCGCAGAACATTTGCCTAGGGTTCCCAGTTACTGGCCATGGGCTTTATTTCACCATACAATTAACCACCGAGCAGACTTTGCAGTTGAAAATGAACTCACCGTGGCTAGCTTCTGCACGTCCTCATCGGATGCTCCCAGGGACGCTAAGCCTATTTCTTGGGAAAACTGAGCAAATTTCGGATCTGCAAGCAGTGGAACGTGTCCCAAGAGTTCGTGGCATGTATCTCTGTAAGGGGAAAAAAAAAAATCTTGAAGTCATGTCACACAAGAAGCTTTAAACTACCGTAACCTGTAGAACAAGACTTGAAATCCTAAACAGAATCGTAGTCTATAAATGATTACCATTAATCATACTTGAAAGGCAGACGCGGGGTATGATTAATGACACTGACGTTGGATGATAAATCATACATTCATTCGTAGTGAGGGCCTGAGAGTGTGGAGGGAGGACACGTGCCTGTGAGAGCAGGTGCTTGTGCGCCTATGGAGGCCAGCGACCATCCCAGGTGTCATTCCTTAGGTGCCAGGTACCATTTTTTTTCTCTCTTCTGAGACAGAGTCTTCTGTTGGCCTGGAACTCACCTAGTAGACTCTCTGCCTAGACAGTGAGCCCCGGATCCAGCTGTCTCCGCCTCCTTTCCTCTGGAATTTGACTTTTTTCTTACATGGATTCTCAGCTCAAACTTAGGTTCTCAGGCTTGAGAGCCAAACGTTTTACCAACTGAGCCATTTCTTCAGGCTGAGGTATAATCATTTTAATGAAGCACAATAAAAGCCCTTACTTTGGGGGAGATGGCCCTGCCATGTGGCCAGTGGAGGCCTGGAACCCGTACTCTTCCCAGATCTGCTTTCCCAGGTGAGAAGCCTACCCAAACAGGCGTGAGCTACCACTTTGGGAAGCCATTTCTGTTCCTGAGACCATGGTGTTTGTTTTACATTTGATACTCCAGACAGCCTTAGCAAACAGAACTTCTCAGTGCAAGATCCTGCAGGTCACGATGGACAAGCTCCTAAGATCACTCGCCATTTGGCCACCACATTATAAACAAAGTTTGACTGAAACGCAGCTGGGCCCGTTTATACACGTATTGTCCGCAGCTGTCATTGTTGTCAACAACGGCAGAATCAAATAGCTGTAACTGAGATCCCAGTTCCGCGAATCCTAAAATAATTTCGAGCTGACCCCTTGATAGAGAAAGCTTGCTGGTTTTCGGCATAGGTAGCAATAAACTAAATGAAATTGAGGCCAAAGGATGCCTTTGAAATTAAGTCCTTGTGTGACCACAGCAGCCTAACTTGGTAGAGAGTGACCGAAAGCCTCATTTGGGAGTAGAGTCTTGTAACAAATAGCAGAGTCTTAGCCAATTCCAGCAGCTCAGCTTCAATCACAGGTGGCTAGCTGATTCAAATAAGGCAATCACCCAGGTATCATCAGTTAAACTGTCCCTGCGGGTCACTTTCATTTTGTGCCCACAATTGGTCTCTGACCACCTTGCAGCCTTGGCTTGCAGCCTTGGCCTCACTGGGGCTTTAAGGCCCAATTCAGAAATCACAAATAAAAGCCAACTAAGCACGTGTGTGAGAGAGAGGATGTGTGTGCTGCTTGTAATTGAACTAATTGTAGTTTTTAGACTAAATCTGTTGTCTTTTGACTATAGTGCTAAAGCCAAAATTTGGGTTCGACTTGTTAGGATTTTGAAAGCCTTGTGCTCATCCTTAAATTCTTGTGTGCCCTTGTGAGCCTTCACGGGGTACTAAGAAAGACCAGAGGCTGTCATCAAAGTCACTGTCCAGGGAGACTTGATCTGTGGGCTTGTGCTCAGTTCCTTTGAGAAAGAGCCTTAGAAGACCCTCCCAGTTTCCAGAGCTGGACATAAACCTGGAAATAGCAAAAGCCTGCCGTATTCTCATTTGCTTGAGCTTCCCATTTGGAGCTGGATAAGAGGGCAAGGGATGGGTATGTGTCATAACTGAATAAGGCAGTTACCCTCCTAAGTCATTGTCATGAATTATAAACTGTGTTTGAGAGCAGGGTACACTGAAATTAGCTTTCCCATGACTCTCTCAGCATGGCTTGAGAGGCAGAAAGAGTTATGCTCATGATAAAAAAAAATAGAGTGCCTATATAGTAACTGAACAATATTTCTGAATTCACCTATGCCGAAATGTATCACTTCATAGATGCTCTGAAACCAAAGTCTGGTGCTACTGCCATTATTACAGGAACAGAGTCGGGGGAATACAATGGATCGTGGTAAATGGTATGAGTTTGATACCCACGTAAAACAGATGATATCACTCAAGCAACTTTGAGCTCACAACTCAAATCACATGGCCAAGACCGCCATAGACAGACCAGGTTGAGTGTCTATATGTATGTAGTAACCCTGCCCCTTTGTTCAGCGGGATGCGATGCACGACCTGTCTGTCCAGCTAAACACACTGGGCTTCAGAGGTGCTGTAACTTCTCCAGCTTTTGTGTGTCCTTGGGTCTGTTTTTTCTTCATTCCCTTGATGCCACAATCCCCGGAGCTATGCAAGGATGAGGCAGGAAAGAATACACTGAGAAGGCTTGGGATGTAGGCCAGTGGTTAAGGCCCTTGCTAAACAAGCATAAGGACTTGAGTTTGGATCCCCAGTGCCCGGGTAAAAAGCATGGCATTTGTAACCCCAGAGCCCGAGGGATGGAGACAAGCTAGCCAGAACAGTAAGCTCTACAAGTTCAATAAGAGACCCTGTCCCCAAAAGTCAGGGGGAGAGTGACAGAAGAAAACACCCTACATCAACTCCTGACCTCCAACACACGTGCACACACTCACACACATGTGCATACGCACATGTACACATACATGCATGTACACAAGAAAGTGTACTGAAACTTTATGAACTGGATACAGTGCTTAAAGTTTCGTGTCATGTGAACGATTTAATCTTCCCTCGCAATGAAGCTTCATTATGATGACCTTTTGATCAGTGGGAAAACTAAAATTGTGTAAACTTAATATTCTCCATGGTTCTGCCTTTAGTAAAAGACTTTGGACGAGACTTGAAATTCTTCTGGTTCAAAGTTGCATTCTTTCTGCTCTCTGCTTGTTTAATTTACAGATACAGTATAAATGAGGAGGAAGCCATGTCTCAGAGCATACGCCAGCGTAACCAACATAGTTAGCATAAGGAAAGCCGTAGTTAGCAGGAACTGCATCTCCTTTTCCTCCACTTCTAGCCCCATGCTTCCAAATCACTTGAGAGGCCTTTTTAAAATACCAAGCATCTAGACTCCACTCATGACCAGTTCAATCAGGCTTCCTGGGATTGACCGGGAAATCATTTTTTAAAGCTCCCCAGGTAAAATGAGCCACAGCCAGAGCCGAGACCCATTCTCACGGCTAATGGCACCGGACTCTCTCCCCAGCGGGCTGACAAAGAAATAGTGCTGAAATTTTAAGCTGAAGGTGCTTCTATGATCGGAGAAAACTAAGCGGCTGTCCACTGAAGTTGCATCGTAATCCTGGCGAATAATGAAAAAGCCATGACTGAAGAACAGGAAGCTAATTCCGCCTCCACCCGCTGTCAACTGGGGCGCACGCCTCACATTTCCATGCTGGGAGAACTCTGATCTCATTCCTGGGGTCTCCATCAAGGCTAGAATTAAGGTCAAGTGGCCTGCCCTGGAAAACTCTGGGCACTCCCATAGTAGCCTTTGCGATAAATACTAAAGCTCCCCTTTTGGTCTTGGAAGGAATGCAGCAACAAGAACTCCACATCAGACCAGATATCTATCAAAAAAATATTGAGACTGGTATTAGCCTAGTATCAGTAAAATCATGGGAGCAGAAAGAAGACTAAAAATTCGTGAATGCTGTACGGAGCCAGGCATGTTGCTGGGGGCCTTACACTGTAACAGAATAAGTCGTAACTACAGTAGCGGTTGATTCTTAGAATAATGTCAAATAAACCTAAAAGCCTGATTTATTGTAACTTATTGGAAATTTAAAAGCCTTACATAGAAGGACAGTCTCTCATGTAAGACTGTAAGAACAGAGACCTAACAGTCGCTTCAAAGTCAGCAGCTACAAAGGGGGGGAAAAAAGCACAAGATGGCCAAGAACACAAAGGAATCAATTCTCAGTGGAAAGAGCTGTGGCTTGTATTTTAAATTAAGGTGTCATTATCAGAAGCCAGTAATACACTAACCAACTTAAAAATCTCCACGATCCTCACAACAGCATGATAGGCACACTATACATAGGGTAAAAGAACTTATGAATCTGGAAGAAGCAAGTCATACAGTGTAACAGAGGGAGTTATATTGTCCCATTAAAGATGAACGCCTGAAGCAAGATGTCTAACAGAATCCTTAGCGGAACGTTAGGGATGGCCTTCGCTCTGTTATGGGTAGAGATGATTGTGCCATAGGTCACTACTTTGTGCTCTCTGCTCAATTTTGACTCCATGCAGGAGCCCTGAGAGAGATTCCTGAAGAAAATCTGGATGCAGAATACATAACAGCCTTACTTCTCATGGACCAATGCTACCAGGTCCCGTATTTCAAGGCCAAGAGTGAGGTTATTCTCCTTTGGGGCTGGTGGGACATTGAAATAAACACTACTCTTCTGTCTCCCCATGCCTTTGAGAGAGGAAGATAAAGAAGGAAGTACCCATAAACACAGAAACCAATGAGCAAAGAAAGATTTTCAACATTTCTGATAAACATACACACACACACACACACACACACACACACACACACACACACATTATAGGCTGGAGAGACGGCTCTGCATATAGAGCATTTGTTACTCTTGCGGAGGAGCTCGGTTCAATTCCCAGCATCCAGACGGCAACTCATAGCCATCTGTAACGCCACTTCGAGGGCATCTTCTCGCCTCTGTGAGCACCAGAAATGCACGCTGTGCCCATGTAGACGACAGGCATGCTGCACACATGTAGACATGCGGAAAAAACTCTCAAACACAGGAAATAAACAAATCTGAAACCATTTCTAAAGAACCCATGAACTATGAAACGGCACATTCCCCTTTGTTTCTCTCCGACGGACACGGAGCTGAAGCTGAGCGCCCGCAGTTTGAGGGAGTCTGAGAGGTGCCGGGGTGCAGCCCACGAGAGGAGCCTCCTCGCCAGCCTTTCTGCCAGCCGAGGCCCGTGGGACCGAAGCCGGGCCTCTTCACCCTGTTTTGCTGCTGCTATTCCCTGCCTGTAAGCCAG